GTTATGCATACATTAACAGTCTGACGATATAATTTATGGCTTCAATTCTATACGTTTCTTTTCATGTCATTTCAATGAAGGGTTAAATTGTCTTTTTCTTATCTATCACTCATGTTTAGACTCCTTCTATACGTTCCTGATATTAGAGGATAGAGTGTATTTCAGCTTTCTTCACGTATATTCTGTTCTCTTACTATAATTGTATCATTATCCCCCGTATTATTATTATACTCATATGGATATGTATTACTTTCCCTCATAGGTCTCTATTCACATTTTCCTGCTTCTTAGGAGAAGCATTCTTTTGACATATTTTTTGGTACGTGGATTGTCTTCTCGCCCCCTTTTTTACTTTTTGTTCTTTTTACTTATCCCTCAGTAATTTTGTTAATTCTTTCTATAGGTGTACACGTTCTGTATTTACCCTTTCCTGTTGTTAGAATATGTTGTTACTTTTAAAGGTACGTGCCTTATCCTCACACATTACGCTTCATAAGTGTCAAACCCACGACTAGGGAAAGAGAACTGGCTTATAGGTTCAGGTGCTGGCCTTCAATTTTTGTACTCATCTTAGTCTCACACTGGTGAAGCCAGACTCCCAGCCGCAAAACAGAGGTTTCCCCACACGATCCCACATTTTAGTTATTGCCTCGCAGGCCCTTCTTTAGAGTTCACCTATCACGACCATACGTTTTGATTCTTTTAACATCATCGAGAGGCAAACATCCTGCCACAACGTCTCGGTGGCCACATTCCCCTCAAGCCAAATCATAGCTAGAGATTCTCTCTGCCAGTTGACAATTAGCAGGGCCTCATCTATCACGGGGTAGATTAATTCTTCGCCTACCAGCACTATATCAGCCAGCCAGTTGATATTCGGCTGTATGTGTCATTGATTGTTTGTTTTGTAACTTTTTAGCATGTCTCAAGCTTCTGAACATGAAGACTGCCAACCTCTTCCTGAAACCCCAGCTAGGCCCTAGACTCTGACATGTCCCAGTTACCCTGCTGAGTCACTCACCCATGCCACTCCTGGGGTCCCTGAGGTCATGGACTATACCTAAAGTAGCCGCTGAGCTACGTAGAAGGTGCATCCCCTTCCCAGCCACTGCAAGGAAGGCTAAACTTTTTAGGCTCCTATTCACTCAGTCCATTGACCCCAGACCCAATATGAGCTCACAGGGCGGAGGTTTTGAAGGCATGGGGAAAGCGCAGGGCAGGATGTCTATATTGATTGCCTCTTTCAAGCCATTAGCAATCGGTTGACAGTTCTAGAAACGGCTCACCCTATTCTCCAGGTAACCGCAGCTAATCCAGCTGAGGTTAGTGCCCCCATGGTAGCAGTATTGCAGAATAGCTTGAGCACCATTTCTGATCTTCCATCTACATCTCACATTGTCACAATTTGATCCCTACCTCCAATTTGACCGCACATTTGATCCCTACCTCCATCAGGAAATACATTATTGAGGGTAAGGATGTCAACTTAGTATCACTACTAATTGCTTCGCAGGACATTGTAGAGAACAGGACCTATAACTACAGGGATTTGTCTGTGATCCTTAAAGCCAGGGACCCCAGACTAAATAAAAAAACTCTTAATCCCAGAGTTCGTATTTGTTTTAGGGCACATGCAAAATCTATGTGCCCCTCCAAGCTCTTTCCCAAGAAATGACTTACGGAGGTTAATCTGAACAATCTCAGTTAACACTTGTGCTCACACCCCTCACCACACTTGGTTTCTGTTTTTTCCACAGGTTTTCACACAGGTCTTGTGGCACTTCTCTCAGGCACACTGGAATGCCCCAATTTGTTATCAGCCTATAGTAGATGCTCTACTGGACAAAGAAGTCCATCTAGGTTTTGTTTTAGGCCCATTCTCTCATCCTCCTTTTTAGTCATGGCGCACAAATCCCATTGGTGTTGTGTATCACAAATCTTCAAATAAACAAAGGCTTATCATTGATCTTTCAGCTCCTCATTCTTCACACACACCAAGCATAAACTCTCTAATCACTGCTGAAGAATTCTCCCTCCATTACGCCACTGTCAACAGCGCTATACATGCCATTTTACACGCGGTAGGCATGCTAGGCTTAGCCAAACTGACATCTCTAATGATTTCAAGCTGCTACCAATTCACCCATCCCTATGGCACATTCATCATGTTAAGTGGAGGGACAATTATTACTTTTACACTAGACTTAATTTTGGTTCCAGGAGCAGTCCAAAACTATTCAATATATTTGCAGAAACACTCTGTTGGCTGCTTCTTAATGTCATTCGATGTCCCATGGTGATTCACTACTTTGACAACTTGGTCAGAAACTGGTACACAGATACCTCAAAGTATTTTCAGCACTATTGCTTTTTTTAACCACATTAGGTATCCCTATTTCACCAGATTTCACCTCTTGGCCCCTCCACTAGATTGGTGTTCGTGGGCATCACCTTGGAAATGGCTGCTGGGTGAGAAGCTGGTATGCATCAGGGAGGAGATGGACCATTTCCTGGGGGCTGGTTCGTGTACTTGCAGGGAGTTTCAGTTTTTGCTAGGGTCACCTAATTTTGACATGCAAATCATCCCACAGGGAAGGGTGTTCATTTCTAGGCGTCGTTATCTCCTACCCGGCTTGTCTGATGATGTGACCGTTCTCCTTGACCCCCCTGCCATAGTTGATTTACGCATGTTGCAACATTTTCTTGTGTCTGGGAATGGTATTTCTTTGTTTATTGCACCTCTTTCTCACTCATCACCACTTATGACTGATGCAGCAGCCCATTCAGGGTTTGCCGCTATTTATGGAAATCTTTGGTTCAGAGACTCGTGGCCTACACTCTCCTTGACAGCCTTCAGAGAGACCTCCACCCTGTTCAAAATAAAATATTTTGCACACAACAGTGTACCCTTATAAAAAAAAAATCCACCTTAGTGCCAATTTCAACTTTGTCATTAGTGGGACAGCTTTTGATTTTATTAAGATTTTTTTTATTTTTTTTTTATTGTACTATTTGTCCTTTTTGTGGTTAGTTCTTGTTTAAGTCCTGTTTGGACTTTTTTATATCATTACTTATTCAAAGTTAAGTCTTATACTAGGTGGTGTTTTACCCTCATTGTATTCCATCTTTAGTACCAAGTGTTGCACCCTCCACTTTTTTCTTGTTTGTCCATTCTTTGATAACCAGCCTACCCGTATGTAGTTACTGGCTCAAAGAATGTATCACTAATGCATGCAATAATGCAACATAAAATACTGCATTAACGTTTAATAATCTTAACCATAATATGACATGATATCACATTACAATATCTCTTGCATTAAAGAAGCTTAGATAATCTAATAGTAACCAACTATTTGTTTGCACACCAAGTTAACTTTTCCAATCCACTCAGCAGCTAAACTCAGCTTTGAATTGCAAACTGACAACATGCAAATGCATTAAGAAAAATGGTAAAAACAAATTCTCGCTATATTGGCATGTAATAATATTACATAGAACAAACAAATTAAATTATCAACAAGTGTTCAAAAGAAAATACTTGGGCAATTTAAAAAAACCTCTGTATATGCACTAAGCAAATCTACAGGTATTCACAATATAAAAATATGTATCAATAATTACAAGATTAATACCCCAAGAATTATTGCATATTTTCAATCTGAGCTGCAGGCACAGATTTTAAATACACAAACCACTTTCACCAAAAGGGATACATTATTCAAATGTTGAATCAAAACTTTTTCGTAGCTATGCAAAATATAGATTATAATCACCACTTAGTTTCTGTCCTTTCCTTCTCATATTGGGACTCAGGTTTGTCAGGAGCATATTAAGTAAAAATAACAAAGCTAGTAGGTGAAATCAATTCAGTAGAGTGAATGTAAGAGATAGGGACAATTTAAGAGTGAGTGATTGAGTGATCAATCAAGAGAATGTGATCAATAGAGTGTTTAATTCAAGATAGTGTCTCTATAGTGATCAATAGAGTATATGCATAAGTGATCCATATACCAATACCATTATATTGGTTTTGTTATCTTAGGTAACTCACATCTATTCTCCAATCAGATTGGTGGGTGTAACATATGATAATTAAGAATCTGTCATTGACTAAATAAATTACATAACTTTTACTAAATTTAGCCACCAGTTGAAGCTCTTGTCTTATGAATGATTTTAATTTATTCCTGTGCCCTGAAATATTTATTACAATTATGCCGTTACCTGTGTACATAGGTGTTTATTAGTCTATATTCCGGCTCCCGGTATCACTCTGCACGTCGCGAGAGGGAGCAAAGCAGAGAGTTCAGGGGAAAGTGCTCCCTCGCTGCCGCCCTCCTGCATGTGCATCTGCACTGAACCTCAAGTGAGAAATCCACCCAACTATCCCAAACATAGGGAGGCTGGGTGTATTTAAATTTAAAAAAAAATAATAATAATAATTGAGTGTGGGGAAATGTGTGTGTCAGTGATTGTGTTTTAGTGAATGTGAGTGTGTGAGTGAATGTGAGTGAATGTGTGTGTGTCAGTGAATGTGTGTTAGTGAATGTGAGTGAGTGTGTGTGTGTCAGTGAATGTGTGTGTCACTAAATATGAGTCAGTGTTTGTGTCTGTCAGTGAGTGTGTGTGTTTCAGTGAATGTGTGTGTGAGTCGGTCAGTCAGTGTGTATGTGTCGGTCAGTCAGTGCGTGCATCTGTCAGTCAGTGCGTATGTGTCGGTCAGTCAGTGCATGCGACTGTCAGTCAGTGCGTGCATCTGTCAGTGAGTCTATCAGTGAGTGTCTGTCTATCAGTGTGTCAAATCAGTGAGTGTGTGTATGTCATTGTTTGTCAGTGTATATGAGAGTGTCTGTCTGGCCTGCGGTGCATTTCTTGCAGTCCTGATGCATGGAGAAATGCTCAACTCCTGATGCATGGAAAAAGGCCTTCACAAGCCTCTGCTAATGTGTATATAGTTTATACTAAGTGACCCATAGGTTGAGGAGGCGGTGACCGTGGCGGTGTAGGTGGAAGCAGCGGTGGAGGAGGAGGATGAGGTAGCCAACACTGTTTTTTATATATATATATTTTTTAATTGGGGTAGCCCCCAAAATATTGGGACATATAAAAAAAGACAACTCTGTTCCACAGAGTAGCTGTTGACATTATAGTTGCGCAGGCACTTTGTTGACTCTAGAGAACCTCGGGCCAATTGCACATCCCCGTGGTGGCGAGTTTGCATGTGGATGTCATCTATAACAACTTTCGTTGCCAGTTTCTGCACCTACCATGGTGAGCATGGGTGACAGGGAATCACGGTTCCATTCTGTACAGGGACCCTGAGAAATGGCTACCACATGCAAGGAAGACAGCAGGCGCGTAAATGACCCACTCCCGACGCGGGAAGGTAGTGACGACAAATAACAATACAGGACTCTTTAGAGGCCCTGTAATTGTAATAAGCCCACTTGAAGTCCTTTAACTCTGATCAATTGGAGTGAATTCTGGTGCAGAGCCACTGACCCGTGCGTGCTGCAGCTGAAACTCCACTATCGCCTGCTGCTGCTCGCACAGTCTCATGAGGCGGTGAGCGGGAAGGCTGAAGTTATGCTGCAGCGCAGACAGGCGAGGAGCAGCAGGGTGACAACGCCAAAAGCGCACACAGCCGCTACAGTGAATGTCACATCCTGTTCCAAGTTGCGGATCAGTCTGGTGATGGCTTCTGGTATCCAGTACTCTTTTTACTGAAGCTGCATCAGGGTCCTGGTATGTGGCCGCACAAACGCTGGTGCTTAACACCAGGGGGCGTGCGATTACCCTGCACCAGACCCTGCTAATCCATTCCACACTGTGACTCCTAACTTCAACATCAGGCATACTGGGTCCCGGTCGTCTGACCGCTGCCCAGACAGTGCCCACCTGACTGTGAAACTACGAATGGATCGTTATATCTGGTAGCTCAACTCTATTATGGATCCTTTGATCGCTACATGTATTACTTGGATAACTGGTAATTCTCGAGCTAATACATGCCGACGAGCGATAGGGGACGGCGGCTCCGCTTTTGCACCCTGCTCCCTCTTATGCTGTGCTGGTGCCTCTATGCGACCAGCGCCTCTTCCTCCAAACTGCACATGTCACTCGCATGACCTTGATTCCATGTGGTGTTTTGGACTTCATCATCCTCCACATCATCTTCCACCCACTCCTCAACCCTGTCCTCCTTGCCGGTGTGCACCCTGCAGAAACCACATCAGTTGGCACCTGTGTTTTTCCAGCATGTAAAGTCTGCAAAGGACATATGGAAATTGTTTTAGAATTGTATCCAGGCATCTGTGTAACAAGTGTTGTATGTATGAAACAATATTACAAGTGACCGATGTAGTAAATTCGAATCAAAGTTACGCTTCGATTTGACTCTCAGATATGAAGTGTACACCCCAAATATACTATTTAGCACCAAAAAAAAAAAGAAATTGACTTTTTAAAACTCCAATGTAAGCATCAGATTAGCAGCAAAACTATTAGAATTTTTACAACTGCGCAGTAAGCGCACTATTAGACGCTTCTATTTGACTCTCAGATACGAAGTGCGCCGCAGGCAGCAAATGTATTATTTAGCAGATTAGCAGCAAAACAATTAGAATTTTTACAACTGTGCTGTAAGCACACTATTAGACGCTTCGATTTGACTCTCAGATATGAAGTGCACACCCCAAAATGTACTATTTAGCAGATTAGCACCCAGAAAATTAGAATTTTTACAATTGCGCTGTAAGCACACACTATTAGACACTTCGATTTGACTCTCAGAAATGAAGTGCACCCCACTAAAATACTATTTAGCAGTTTAGCACCCAAATAATTTTAAGTTTTAAAACTGCAATGTGACAGCAGTATTTGACGCTTCTATTTGACTCTCAGATATGAAGTGCACCCCACTAATGTACATTTTTAGCACCCAAAAAAATTCAAGTTTTAAAACTGCAATGTGACAGCATTTGACGATTCTATTTGACTCTCAGATATGAAGTGCGCCCCACCCCACTAATGTACTAGTTTGCAGAATTCTTTCCTAAGCTGTCCCTATGCGGCAGCATCCTCTTCCTACACTAATAAGACCTCATGTGCGTGCAGCGCTACGCGACTCCAGCTTATATATAGAGGTTGGGTCACATGCTGCACTGGCCAATCACAGCCATGCCATTAGTAGGCATGGCTGGGATGGCTTCTAAGGGCACACGAGTCAAACACTTGTTGATTGGCTGCCCTGCAGCCTTTGAAAATGCGCCATTAAATTGACGAACACCGAACTCCAACCCAAACATACAGTGATATGTCCGTGTTCGGGTCCAAGGTCCAAAAAACCTAATGTTCAGTACGAACCTGAACTTTACAGTCCGGGTTCGCTCAACTCTACTCACACATAAATGCTCCATCAGCTCCAAGTACCACGTGATTTGCTTCAAGATTCTGACCCACTGGTATAGGACACCCGACGTGCTGCGTCTCATGAACTCAGAAGCATTGGAGATGTGGGTTATAAGCACCCAAACCTAGATAGGGACACCTGGCGATACCTAGGTCTGAGAGATCCACATATACGGCACCACAGTATGCTGATTATTAACGATTGGTGCGGGGTTAAAGAAGAGGCACTAACTGCTGAGACATGCAACCCCATTAGCCAACTGAGAACGAGAACTGACAACAAAGCACAAGTCTCTCTGGTTTTAAACGTTGTTACTAACTTGACCTCCCCTGCAATTAATGCACACAGAACAGAATAATTGCAACTTATAAGAAACATAATGTGTCTCTAGTATAATAGTGCTGAAACATGTACACACTGTTAAATAGTTACTTTGTTATGATTCCTCTGTTACATAATCGAATGCCTGGTTGCATATTGAGCCTGAATACTGATCCTCGAGCCTCCAGTTTCAATAAATTATTGTCTGCATGTGTTCTTCAAGGCTCTGTGCGCCAGACGTGTGTCAGAGGCATATATCTGCACACATGTTTTGTCTGTATAATTTCTATAACGAAAATAAAGGTTGTCAAAAAAAAGAAGGCCCTTTTGACGCCCCTTCTTTTAAGTGTTTTCGGTTATCTTCATTGGTTGGAAAATACATATTTATGGCTCCTGGCTTTAAGGGGCAGAGCCTGGAAATAATGAATGGTTATTTGGTTTTGGTTTTAAAGTTATTAGTATTATTATGATTATGGATACTAAATCAAAATTATGAAATCCGTAATAAAAATCACGGCTATTCGTCAAATATTTTAATTTATAAGTAAATAAACAGTTAAAGGAAGAAGTTGTTGTGTTTTTATTTATATTATGTATCATTAAGAATGCAACATTCAAACCCCATGTGTCATTAGCTGCCGCTCTTCCATCTCTAACTGGATGTTCCTGTTATCAAAAACTCAATCTTTTTAAAGCTGCAGTTCTAATTTTACAACATGACAGGAGACTGTGTATTTTGCATATCGTCCTTCAAAAAATATTACCAATCATAAAAGAGCAAAATGTATATAAGGGATGGTTACTAGAATCACCTGCACTTTCTTTGCTGCTCCAACAGGACATAGGTCAGAGTCCTGTTCTCCTCTGTCTAGGGGGATTATTGTGTGACTAATGTATTAGTTTTTATTATGTCACTGCTTCCCTGTTTGCTGTTTTTGTCACTTATCCTATCCTTTCTCCTTACTAGCCTCCTGAATTTGCTTCCTTTATGTCCTGACTATTTGTTAGGACTCTGTCCCTTGCTCTCTCTGGCCTGTCCTCAATCCTCAATTTCCCTCTCTGCCACTTTTAAGTGCATTCTGGTGCTGAAGCAAAATTTGCTCCTGCACCCTCATCTCCTCCTAGTGCCAGGGAGCCTTAGTTCGGGTTGTCAGGGATCCATTCTTCCCAATCAAGTGCCTACTTGCCTGCTGGTTCATCTCGTGTGCTTTGTGCTGCTGCCATTTTGGATCTCTTGATTTGTGAGATCCCAGTGGCCATCTTGAAATGCAATGGAGGCTAGCTGTTGCTAAGCCCGATACAGCAAAGGAAGAAGGTGCAACCATATGCTTTTGCCTCTGTGCTATCCAAATATGTATACTTACTTGCTACCATCCTGCCACACATCGGAAAGGGATATTCTGTGATAGAGACTCTTGAGTAGTAGGGCCCTATAGATACTTTGTCAACTGTTACCAAAGGGGCAGCTCTTTATACTGTTAACATTGTTATAAATAGTTACTGTGGATATAGACAAATGTACGTGCTGCAAGGTGAGCCCTTGCTAGGTGATTCCTAATTCTGCCTCTCTACATGTTACAAGTCTCATCCTGCCAAGAGTGGATACAATTTTCACTTTTCTATTGTGGCTTTTATCGAGTCTGATCACCAGTCTCTGGCTTAGCATCAGCCCAGTCTGACTTAATGATGCCCAGCCTGTTTTATATTGCAATTTTGGTGCTCAGTTAAGAAATGGAGGAATCTCAGTCTCTCTGTTTTTGCGGTTTTGCTTTATTGGGAGTGGGTATGCCAACAAATTTACTACAAACTAAAATAATGTTTTATTAAAATATTATTTTAGTTGGAGATCCCTTTAATCATTAAAATTATCTCTACAGCACTCATTTCAAATAACCTTTACTTCAAATTTCAGTGAATGATTTCTTAATCTTTGTACTGCCCTCTTGCAGAGATGGTCATCCGGAATCTGCTTGTACCATTTCTTTTATAAATGAAATAATATAAACAAGCAATTTGTTTGACTGTTTGTCAAAACATTATTGTATTAATACATGTGCCATTTGTGGTCTCAGTTAGTAATTGCTAGCACTAGATTGTCAAAACACTGTAAATGTCATCACAGATATAGAAAACTTGCTGTCGAGATAGGGAGCTGAAATTAAGCTGACAGGTAGAGCACGAGGGTTAACTAACAAGTGCTGTAAATGTATTCCCCAACTAGTGTATGCACTACTACATAATTGTATTAAATTATACATGTCTAAATGACAGATACCAGAAACAACAATAAAACTACTTGCAAAGTAGTACATGTGCAAAGTAGCAACCATCATAAACATGTATATAATGCAACACAGATGGGATGAATAATATAGCACACTTTGCCATAGGGAAGAAGAATTATATAATTTACATTTTTATCTGATCAGGAGAAATTTAACCTGACATAAATTCCAAATAAATATGCATTTCAAGATCAGTGGAAATTTTTTACATGACATTTAGAAAGATGGTCTTCATACTTACTTAAAAAGACACTAAAACCGCAGAGAGCAAAACAATAGACTACACTGTGTTATTTACTAAAGTGGGAATTGTCAGATTAAAAGTGAATTTCAAATCTAAGGTAAAAATAGCTCAATTGGAAAAATGTTCCAGATC